TTTTTTAATTTGTTTGTCTTAAAATTGTGTGACTGCAGTTTGACTGGAGAACGATGGGTGCTGTTAGCCGGGTCAAAAATCAGGGATTATGTGGAGCTTCATGGGCATTCAGGTAAACCAATAATGATTAGGATCTCCTTAAATTTGTGTAGATTGAAGTGCATATGGTCGATTTTGTGTACTGCAGCGCAACTGGAGCTATTGAGTCAGCTAACTATCGGAAAATTAAAGTAATGAGAGAGTTATCTGAGCAACAGCTGATAGATTGTTCTTATAAACCAAACGGTCCCTGGGGCTGCGTTGGTGGTTTTCCTTCCCAAGCCTTTGATTACCTCAAATCCAATGGACTCACCTCAGAGGAAGAATATCCTTACATAGGTGTCCGTGGGTTCTGCAAACGTCATACACCACAGTCACTAGTGAGACGATTTGTCCGTATGCGTTTCGTAAGCATCTTTTGGTCTTCACCCGCCTGTAAATTATACATTTCATTCTGTAATGTTGATTTTAAACAACGATAACAGCGTGATGAAAATGAGCTGGCGGAAATGCTTGTAGCCGTGGGGCCACTTATCATATCATTCGTCGTTGGAGAAGATATGCTGTTTTACAGCGGAGGAATTTACGAGAATCCCTCGTGTAGATATAGGGTGAGATTATGCCCTTTTTCAAAAAAAAAAAAAAAAATCTAGGGTGAGACTTTCTAAGAGTGGCCTTTTATCATGTGCATGTTAGCTGTTGAATATTAACAAAGTCAATAAATAATTGAAAAACTATTATTTTTAAACATCTATATATTTATATGGTCTGAAATTTTAAAATTTTGGATATACTGTCTAGACTTAGAGTTTATAATTTCAAAAGAAACTTTAAACATATATATATATATATATATATATATATGTTTAAAGTTTCTTTTGAAATCATATATATATATATGAAGATTTAAACTTAAAAAACTATATATCATTACATTGTTTAAATATAGTTAATATTTTTTTTGAATAAGTTGTAGCAATAATTTGAGACGACACTTGACTTTCTGTAGCAAGTAGGATCATTATTATATAATTAGTGTTAAATTAATTCGTAATGTGGTATTTAGTACGTAAGACTACAACATGCTTTGGCGGTTGGTTATGGAATTGAAGGCGGTAAGAATTATTGGGTTATAAAGAACTCATGGGGAGAGAGTTGGGGCGAGAATGGTTACTTAAAGTTGCGGAGGGGAAATAACATGTGCGGTAAGTGCTTTTCATTGAAACCATAAAGCCAATATCAACTAAGCTATATTTTTTTTTTGGATATTACCAGTGAAAGAAAGATTCAGAGAGGCTCTATCTTTTGTTGATTCGTTGTTGAATTGCAGGTATTATTACTGGTGAAGTAGCGTATCCGATTCTGGACTGATGGGATGATCAGCATATGAACGAATGCATGATGTTTGCATTATTTATTGAATTAACAGTACTTGAAAGTTGGCACTTGGGAGTGCACATTGTTGTGTGTGTTTATGCTTATTGTAGTAACATATGGTCTGTTCATATGTACCGAATAAAAAAAGCAAAATTTGTGAAACTTAAATAATAATATATATGCGTGCATGTTAGATCTCTCTATCAATAATAATTATGTAGCATCTCGACGTTTTGTAAGATTGCAGTGCCTTCACCATCAAGAACTACAAGCTCACTGTGATTCTTGATGCATTTTGTTGAGAATTTGACACTAACAAAGAGAAATTAGGAACTAGTTATGATAGTGAATAACAAAGTACTAAAGTTTTTTTTGTATTTCATTAGGTTGTTTAAGAGCATGTTTATTGTAGGTCCTTAAGTTGGATCTTTTAGCGTACGATCCCTTAAACGTTTCTTAAATCTCTTATTTAAGGGACGTCTTTTAGCTTTTCTAGTTAAAAGCTAAAGGACATACAATAAACATGCTCTAACATAGTAGCTTACATGTATTTTTTCTTGGTTTCTCTTAAAGCTGTGGCTTGTACCAAACGGAGAATATCATCTCCTATGTAAACTGGTGATCGAAAATGCAGAGTTTGAGATACATATGCTGCTCCAGGCTGCAACAAGACCAAAATGACTCAACAATCATGTTTCCCCAAATGTGTATACTCATACATTATAAACACATGTAAAAGGATGGATAGTTGCAAACTAAAGCTAGAGAACTTACGTGAGCAAGAAGTTATCTCCGGGGAAGAGGGAGGAAGTCTCATACAACAATAGTGTCGCTCAGTGGCGGACATATGTTGGCGTGCCCCGGGTTCGTTTTTTTTTGGTTTCTTTAAATCCTATGATAATTACTTCATTGGTCTCGACTTTTTCCACTCAAATGAACAAAATGAGGCTAGTAATTTATCATATTTTATGATCCTCTATTTCAGTCTCAGATTACTCAAATAACTCATTTTCCCATTCAATCTTTACTAAACGAAATGAAGAGTTTTTTTTTTTGTATCTCCATATATGTACCATGTGATCATGGCGTAATCGAGTCATTGGAATGAACAAGGCAAATTGAAGAAATGATCAAAACGGTGGTTAGGTCAATTCGTCACGTGAAATTATGTTGGTAACGTGAAACATGTGGCAGTGCAAAGTCAATTTGTATTGTAATAACGTTACGTCAAAAAAACTTCAATACACATCCAAATTATTAAGTTAAGAATAAAGTCTCAATCTCGCTTTACATCTCATGCCTTATGATACGCCGAGTTTTTTTTTTGTTATAAAATCAATATCTTCAACTCATTTTATATATGCTATATCAAGACATCAAAACCACGATCTCCTTTTCTTATTTGTCCGCAAATATAATATAAGACTAGGATAAAACCCGCGCCTTGCGCGGGATGAAGTTATTATTTTTATTATGTTTTGGAAAATGAAACAAAAGTTCGGTTTCATCTGGATTAAGAGTGTTCAATCTGGATATCGGGTTTCGGTATTTCGGTTATTAAAATATAACTATTCTAATTTCATATTTACTTCAGTTTGATTTGGTTTATATATTGGTTTTCAGTTTATTCAATTTTATACCAAAATACATCATTATTTAGTTTGAGATCATATTATATATTATAAAAATAAATAATTTGATCATATTTAGAGTCATATTGTCAAAAAGTCATTAACTTAAAAAAAATATTATATGTTTAAATAAAAGAATAAAAAAAGCTTCTATCATCTAATAAAATGATCAAATTTAGAATTAATATCAAATCTCTAAATTTTGAAAATAAAAATAAAAACAAAACAGAAGCATGAAAGAAAAGTTTTTATATTCTTCCATATTTAGTGTTCATCAAATTAATATGTCTTCGCTTGAACACAACTCTGTTTGTTTAAAGATTAAAAAAATATTGTGAAGAATTTCAACTAATTGTTGTCCATCAAATTTATAATTTTTACTTAAATTTAGTTATTATTAAAAAAAAACAAAAAAAAATCAAAAAAAAGACTAAGAAAATAAGAAACCTCGGTTGCATTAAATTGTTAGTTAATTATAGTTCAAGTGATTCAATTGATTTAGAAATCATAATTCTTGTTCAACTCATGTAACAAATAGATATACATATTTACATGTTTCAGTTTCGGTTATAAATCAAACCATGTCCAAATCTTACGGTTTTTATAAAATCACATACATCCGGTTTGTATGGTATATACCAAAAATAACCATATCATTGATTGTGTTAATATCTTTTAAAAATATAAAATTAAAAAAAAGAACTAATATATTTAAATCATTGATAACAAAAATTTTCAATGTGAAAAATTTAATATGTTTATAATTTATAAATGTTCTTGAAAATTCATTGAAAGTTTTGAAATTAAAATAATTATGTAATCTTATATGGTATATAATTTAATATATATATATATATTTGTTTTATTATTGAATGATACTTTTTACTCATATGGTTTTAAAATCATGTGTATCTTTTATAATAAAAATGTTAAACTATTGATCATTAATTTTTAACATAATAATTTTAATAGTTTTAGTCATTTCTTCTCAGTTTTTTAAATTCAAAATATAACATATACGAAAAAAATCTAAATTTTAATTTTATAGCTAATTTGATTGTTTAATTTATTTTAGTAATATAAAATTAAAGAAAATGATGGAGGAGATACAAATTGTTATCAAATATTTATTATTAGAAACATTAATTGTCATATATATATGACAATATATTTGTGAACCAAGTCGCCTTGGTCTAGTGGTAAAGAGACTCCAGCTAGAGTTTCCGCCCTGGGTTCGAGTAGCATTGGCCACCCATGGACGCTACGCCTTAAGTGGCAAGAATTCCCGGATTTCTATGGGCCTCGTGGGGATTAGTCTTTGGGCCTAGAAAGTCTTTGGGATCCCCCACGGTTAACAAAAAAAAAATATATATATATATATATATATTTGTCATTTATGGTAATTCCGTAGCTTTTATTTAAGGAAAGAAAATAAAATAATAATAATATCTAGCAGAACAATCATAAATGCTTCTATCATAAATATCATATCATATAGTTTGACCAACAAACATATCTAGCGACATATAAAAATCGAATGGACCTACTTATTTTTCAATTGAATGTAATTGGCTACCTAATTGAGTGACACGTAAGCATGAGCTCTTTTTTAATTATTACAAAATTGAGGTTATAATTTTTCAAATGTTTCTCAATTAATATATAGTGGATTAGTGGGCTAATTATCTACTTTAATTTTATATAATGATCATTATAAATAAAAAAAAAAGTTCAGTTGACTATTATGATCTCCCACGTCTAACAGAGATTCTATCTGATTTGGTTCCCCGATATGGGTTACTCATTCAACGTGGGTTCATTAACTTAAAAGAGGACTAGTTGTTTTACAAAGTTTTTTCTTTCTTTTTTTTTGAGAAAGGGCATTTGTTGAGGGACTATATAATATCATCTCAGGTTATGTTCACTTCTCACAATAAGAAAAAAATAGTAAAACAAAAAGACTGCGAGAGAAGCATGTCTGTGAGAGCAATCATATCATTGGTGGTTCTAGTGATTCTCATTGAATCCCATGAGTCCACTCCTATCCCCGACGGTCTCCGGAAGGTAGAGGAAGCCTTTGTAAAGATCTTAGGCCAATCCAGTCACGTTCTCTCCTTCGCTCGCTTCACTCACCAGTAAGTCCCATCCTCTATATACCACCGTTGCATGCATATTCACCATTGAGCTTTAGTCAATCTCTTTGATAAAGAAACTGATAGTTCGTTTTAATTTGGTGATTGAAGGTATGGGAAAATGTATCAAAACGAGGAGGAGATAAAGCAACGTTTCTCGGTGTTCAAGGAGAATCTTGATTTTATCAGATCCACCAACAAGAAAGGCTTATCCTACAAACTCGGTGTTAATCGTAAGTTTATCGTTCTTGTCCTGAAACTGTAGTTCTAGTCTAATGATGGATTATTATTACAGCAGGCTCACTGGAACTATGTAAGTGGGAACTTTTTTTTGTAGATATTCATTTTATTTTATTTATTTATTATTGTTCTACAAAGATAGATGGTTTGAGAAAAAAACATTTCATAAAGATAAATTTTAAAAAAATTTAAATTATTAAATAATTATAAATTCTAAAATTCTAAAGTTGTTTTATTAATTTTTATTAGTTTAACTTTATTAAATTTGATAAGCATATGATAATATATTTATAGAAAATAATAAAATATTTTTGTGAAACGAACGTAGTATTTTTTTGTCAACAAAACTAAAATAGTATTTATTAATAAAAGTTTTTACCACTTTACATTCCATGGAACAAAGTCTCTGATTCAAATAATTATGATGGGCGCCAAAGTTTAAAAATAACAATAATAATATTACTGTAAAATCTTTTACGTTAAGCTAAAAATTTGAATGATGATAGAAAATATTTTGATTTTATTTATTTCAAGTAAAATTTTTTTTTACAAACTGCATAACTCGTACATTGTTGGATAACAAAAAAAAGAATTTTTCTAAATTGTTATGTTTAAGTTTTTGTCACAAAAAAAAATTCAAAAAAAAAAAAACACGACTAAAACAAATTTCATTAAATAGTCAAAATCATTATACCATTTTTTATAGTTTCGAATTATATATTTTTATTTTTAAAATTTTAGAATTTTCTTTTTTAAAATATTTTAAACTTCACCTTTTATTTATAAATCCAAATATTTTTATTAATTAATCATAGAGGTATAAGGATATATTTATCCTTCATCAAAATATTTTTGGAATTTTTATTCATTCTTGCGGACTATTTTTATAACAAATAACAAAAAAAACACTATCTTATGAAATTGATCAAAAAAAGAAAATACAAACATTGACTTATTAAATATCGCAATATACTGTAATATAATTAATATAAAATATATATCTGAAGCGATAGTTTCTATATGTATGTGAGTTTTTTGATGGTATTTTAAATTTAAGTTTTGATTTTTTTAATTATTACGGAACTGAATTTTTTTAATATAATTTTACTATTTATATGATGGCGGAAGCACAAACCAATTGTAATCGATTTCTAATTGAAATTAGCAAAGACAATAGTATATCCTTCATAAAATATGTCTTACACATCAACTTTATCTTAATTAATTTTCAAGTTATGACATAGTCAATTGTCAAGTATGTTGATAAGTAATTATTTAGTTATGTTTTGTGACAGAATTAGTTAGCATTCCATTTTGTCTTCTGTGTCATCTCGGAAAATCCAGTAGATGTATAAGCATAGTCACGTGTAAAAAAAATATACAAAGATATAAATATCTAATTCTACAAATAAATCTAATTAAAATGAATTTATATCAAAATTAAAATGCAAAAAAGATAAATGAGTATTTACTTCAATGTCCAGCTAGATTAAGGAAATATTCAAATTAGTTATTATTATTAGATCAAGAAAAATGCATGGCTCTCACTTAGTGCATGTAGCTTGGCCACTGGTTAAGATACTTTTGTGTTTAAAGAATCCTTGCTTGTTTAGTGGTTTGATGGATAAGGATTGACCCATCTGAACGTACCTTTTAAATCCAAACAGAATATGCTGATTTGACCAGAGAAGAGTTTCAAAGGAACAAGATCGGTGCTTCGCAACACCCTTTTGCCACTTCAAAGGGCAGCCGTAGACTCACAGGAAGAGCTCTTTTGCAAACCTCAGCTCCTAGTGCTGTACTGAACCATCCGTCCTGTTTTTTTCAATTTTGATAAACACATTTTTAGCTACACATACGCTTTTTATATTTGATTTTTTTGTCGTCTTTAAATTGTGTGGCTGCAGAAAGACTGGAGAGAAGATGGTGTTGTTAGCCCGGTCAAAAATCAGGGAGCAGCATGTGCAGCATCTTGGGCAATCAGGTAAACCAATGATTACGATACTGATATTTTGAAGCATCTATTGATTGATGTAAGATCAAAAATTCAAGGTTGTTGTTTGTCATTATGGTCGGTTCTGGTACTGCAGCGCAACTGGAGCTGTTGAGTCAGCTTACCATATTAAACATGGTGTCGGAAGAGATCTCTCTGTGCAACAGCTGATAGATTGTTCTTCATCTCACGGTACACTTGGCTGCATTGATGGTCATCCTTTCCAGGCCTTTAATTACATCAAATCCGAAGGAATCAACAATGCGACACAGTATCCTTACCTAGGTGTCCAAGGAGTGTGCAGAAGTAACTCGGACTCTGTTGTAAATGTCACAGGATATGTCGCTATCCCTTCGGTAAGCAAGCATTTTATAACGGGATTTTGGTTCTCACCCCCATACATTCAAGTACTCTGACTGGTACTAGTATAACAACAGTTTGATGAACTTGAACTGATGAAAGCGGTTGGATCTATTGGGCCAGTTAGCGTATCATTCGGCGTTTCACTCTCACTCCAGCATTACAGCAGCGGAGTCTACCATAGTAGCGAACACTGTGAAGATATTTTAGTGAGACTTTCTTACACTCTGTTGCAAGTAAAATCATTAACTTATTATATAGTAGGTGTTCAATTAGTTTTTTTTTTTCTTTATATAAATGTGGTATTAGGGCATCAGACAATATGGTTTGGCGGTTGGTTATGGAAATGAAGCGGGTCGCGACTATTGGATTATAAAGAACTCATGGGGAGAACAGTGGGGCGATGGTGGTTACTTCAAGTTTGAGAGGGGGAGGAACTTGTGCGGTAAGTTCGTTTTCATGAAACCATTATCAGTTAAAGCTCTATATATTTATATACCTTATTTTGGATATAACCGGTAAAAGAACGATTCAGAGAGAGAGAGAGAGATTCTCAGATGATCTATCTTTTGTTGATTCGTTGTTGGATTGCAGGTATTGCAGTACTCCCAGTGTACCCGATTGTGGACTGAGATGATCAGCATGTGAATGCATGATATGTTTGCATTTATTTGATTAAGACATTAATTGAAAAGTTGGCACTTGGCAGTGCACATTGTTGTGTTTATGTTTGTTGTAACATATGGTCTGTTCATATGTACATAATAAAGGAAAAATATGTGAAACTTAATAATATATATATATATATATATATATATGCGTGCATGTTAAATCTATTAATATAAATTATTTAGAATGAAATATCACTAAATGATTAAAACTGAAAGATTAAAATGAATTTTGTTTCGATGATATCATAAAAGTATATTGCTCAAATCATAATTTAAAGTGATTAAGTTTCAAATTTTATAGCATTGTCGTGAAGAATCAAAGCATGCAGCTCTTAAGTGGAGAGCCTTAACAGGTGTGGGTGGATTATGAAAGAACTTTAGGCAATGTCACAGAAGCCAAACCATTCTCTCTTGTCAAGATCCATCAATCTTACTGAAATCTTCCCGGATCAAAAACTGTTCTTCGGATTCTTTGCAGCAACATGATCATTGGTTAGTTATTACCAATATATCTTAGGGTGGAGTTTTAGCAGAAGCAGAGAGTTTTTTCAGAGACTGGACTTGTCAAAACGTTTCCTCAGCTTGTTGTTTGGTTTGTGTTACTATCACCCATAGTGTTGGTTGTACTTGGAGGGGTTCACTTACACAGGAGAAAGAAGTATTCACATGTGTAACTTGCGCACCGTATAAAAGACGAAAAACTTTATGTTATGAATTATCAAAAGGAACACATACATAAGCTGGTCTTGCAACAAGCTGAATTGTGCTTATAAATTGTAAACAAAGATCAATGAAGAATCCATTAAAAAAAAAAAAAAAACTTTATAGCTATAAAATATGCATATTGTTATATGATAATTGATTACTCTCAGGGCCTCCACGATTCAATCCGTTCCTTCAACCTTGCGACATTGTTATCGATATCTTGGAGGGTGTTACTCTGTAGCGCAACGACAATCTCCTCTTTGTAACTATCATTTGCTTCTTCAAGCATGACTTGGAAAATCTCGCACTCAATGTTGTTACTAAGCTTGGTTCCAGAGTAACCCCTCCTGGTTAAACGGTCATACAAGACAGAGTTCTCAGTCTGAAGCACCACAACAGCATCAAACCAACGCTCAGGAAAAAAGTCACAGCCATGGTAGTCCACAATGTTCCCTCCTCCTACCATTATATCTTCCAGCTCATCACACACCTGTGTAAGTCAAAAGTCAAACACAAAAATATACAGAATAAATAGACTCTTATCAGTTACATCAAGATTCGAATTAAATTGAAATTAGCAAACATGTTTAAAGAGTAAAACTTTATAACTAACAAACTTTATAACACAAATATAAAGCTAAGAAAAGTTATCACGACACAACTTCATTCGTTTAAAAGACAAAAAAAAAAAAAACATTCAACTTCAGACATAAAATGTTCTAAACCGGTTTAGTTCGAGTAAGAAGAAAACTCACGAGGTCTTCGTTGATGATGTAAGACTCAAACTGATCGTCCCAGCCGTCGTGCAAGTTTTTCTCTTTGACGAGGTCACCGACGCAGATATGCTTGAAGTTCGTGGCTTCGGCTAGAGCAGAAGCAGTCGTTGATTTACCGGTACCGGGAGTTCCTGTGATCAGTATGTTCGGCCTTTGGCGCCTTGTTCCATTGTTACCTCCCGCCATTGTTTAGTGTTGAAGAAATTTCAGATTACGCGGCGTAAGATTGTAATAAGTGACAGACGAGACGGTAAGGGTTTTAGTGTTATAGCCGAAAGCATAAAGGGTGAGGCGGTGACAAGACCAGACCTAACGGATGGGCCGAAGCCCATGATTTATAAGTTATGTATTACTACTCCCTCTCCGTTTCATTGTTTTATTTGCTAGTTTTTCTAATTTAATTATTATTTCTATTAGTTCTTTAATTAACATAGTCAAACAAAACAATGTATTAATTAAGAGTAAAATAAAAATTTAATGGATATTTTTATAAGTCTGAAAAAAAATTATAATGACAACTACATTGAAACGGAGAGAATATATTCTTATTTCGACTTGTAATACATAGTATACAGTAGACCTGGGAATTTGAGTCATCGGATCAGGTTCGGGTCGGGTTCTATCAGATCAAGTCTTATATATTTAGACCCAATAGGATATTAATTCGGGTTCGGTTCGAGTTTGGTTCGGGTTTGATTCGAATCTTAAAGTGATTGAGAATATAATTAAATTTTACGGAATGAGTTGGAGAGTGAGGAATTAGGAATATATTGGGTTAAGAGTCTGGGATATTGAAAGCAAATCACTTACACATGGTTCGAGCATTTCAAGCAGGAATGAGCGTATGCCCCATGAGAAACCTTAAGAATAACTTCATTTCAAATGATTTAGTTGTAACTTATTCTTATAGATTTTGAAAACATAAAATAAAATAAAAAAATGATCACGTTTAATTTTATGATCTTCATGTTTATTTTATATAATACACTTATTAAAAACGTCCAGTCTTAACTATGAAATTTATGATCGACCACGTTTAACAGATATTCGGTCTGATTTGGTTCCCCTCGCAGTTCCTTATACAACGTGGTTGCATGGGTTCGTTGACTTGATAAATACAGTACAAATAAATAAGAATAAATTACAACAAGAAGTTCATATCAAAAGTTATTACAAACTTTTTGGGTATAAAAAGGTCATTCATATTAAGAACACTTCTCACGATCGCTTCAGCTTAAACACTGAAGTATAAAGTAAACAAGAACGTGAGTACAAGAGAAACATGTCTGTGAGAGTTATCCTATCATTGGTGGTTCTGGTGATTCTCATCGGATCCCATGAGTCCACCCCGATCTCCGACGCCCTACAGAAGGTAGAGGACTTCTTTGTCAAGATCTTAGGCCAATCCGACAACGTTCTCTCCTTCGCTCGCTTCACTCAAAAGTATGTCCCATCTTTTGCCGTTGACTGTTGACTTTGAGTCTGTCTCTATGATAAACAAACTGATATATAGTTCTTTTTGGTGATGAAAAGGTATGGGAAAAAGTATCAAAACAAGGAGGAGATAAAGCACCGTTTCTCGGTGTTCAAGGAGAACCTTGATTTAATCACTTACACCAACAAGAAAGACTTACCTTACATAGCCGGTGTCAATGGTAAGTTTATCGTTCTTATTATGAAGTTTGTAGTTCCCGTCTCTTGATGGATTATTATGAATGAGGTTTTTTTCTCTTTTCTTATTTTAGGGTGAATCCAAGAATTTCTCATAAATTTATGGGTTAGGTTGTGAAACAAAGTTTTTGAAAAAAAAACAAGGCAAATAAATTGATGGGTCCCATAAGGAGTATTCAATTCGCATTTCGGTTTTGAATAAAAAATATTAATTTTATTTTATATGATTAGAAAACGAAATTACTAAAACATAAAATACAATTTTGTTCTTCTTATTTTTAAAAGTTTATTGTATATTATTCAATAAATATTAATAGAAAATATAAAATCATAATCGTAAATAAAACTACAGCTGTTGGTATTTTAAATACTAGTATCGAATAAATAATTTTTTTAAAATTCCAATACAAAAAAAAAAAAGAATAACTATATCCTTATTTAAAATCTATGAAATAGAGTAAAACAAAATAATACCAATAAAAATAAGTTGCAAAGAAGACTATATTAATAAAATAATTTCAACATAAGATATTATATAAGGTATAGAAATTTTTCTTCCCTTCTACTGGAACTTTTTTATTATTCTACAAGTCTACTGAAACTTCTTTTGTGATTTTAGTTGGATTTTCGCTTTCCTTTTCAATATTTACATCTAAGTTTGCACAGTTTGTGAGTATGAGAGACTAGTTTGCGTGAAAATTTACCATCAAGTATCATTGTTCTGCTACTTTATAATATTGCTGTGTAGAATCAAGATTGTTCTTGTTCTTTTGTGGGTGTGTCTTTACGTGGTCCTTGTTTGGTTTGATGGGTAAGGATTAGCAAATATCTTATTGTCTCTTGAATCCAAACAGAATTTGCTGATTTGACAATCCAAGAGTTTCTAAGGAACAAGTTTGATTGTTCTCGCTTTGGCATTTTAAAGGGCACCCACAATCTCACAGAAACAACCACAACTCCTAGTGCTGTATGAACCATCCGTCCTGTTTTTCATTTTTGAGAAAACATGTTTCGCCCTTTTTATATTTGATTTAAATTTTTGTCTTTAAATTGCTTAACTGCAGAAAGACTGGAGAGAAGCTGGTATTGTTAGCCCGGTCAAAGATCAGGGACAATGTGAAGCTGGCTGGGCAATCAGGTAAACTATGATTATAATATTTATCTCCTTAAACTTTTGTTGCATCTCTTGATGTATTACATAAATATAAATGGTAGCATCTCTTGATGTAATAAAAATTAAAGTCAAGGTTGTTTGTCATATACTGGTCGATTTTGGTAACCGCAGCTCAGTTGGAGCTGTTGAGGCCGCTTACCGTAAGAAATATCGACTCGGAATATCCCTGTCTGAGCAACAGCTTCTGGATTGTTCTACAAATAACAATGGCTGCGATGGCGGCGCTGCTGCCAACGCCTTTCAGTACAACGTAGAGCACAAACTCAACTATAGATCATTTTACCCTTACCGAGGCACACAGGGAAAATGCAGATATGAGCCTTCACTGGTCGGTAAATTAATCAGGAGCTATGGCGTAGGCGTTTCGGTAAGCATCTTTTACGGATTTTGGTTTTCACCAGCCTATAAAATATACATTCAGGAGTAACCTGTCACTAATGATGAGTGAATAAACAACAGATTGATGAAAATAAACTGAAGCAATGGGTCGGATCCATCGGGCCAGTTACCATAGGATTTCACGTTACAAACTCATTCGCTTTTTATGAGGAAGGAGTCTACACTAGTACTGAGTGTGGAAATACTACAAAGGTGGGACTTTATTATACTTCTTTTGCAAGTACGTAGAATGATTAAGTTATCATATAGTTAGTGTTCAATTCGTTCTTTTTAATGTTTAGGACTTGAACCATTTCATGTTGGTGGTTGGCTATGGAGTTGAAGAGGGTGTCCCATATTGGCTTATACAAAACTCATGGGGAGCGGATTGGGGCGAGAAAGGTTACATCAAGGTGGAGATGGGGAAGAACATGTGCGGTAAGTCATTTGGTTATAGCATATAAAACATAGGTTGAGAGAGACAGATTCTCAGATGCTCAGTTTTTGTTGATTGGTTGTTGAATTTCAGGTGTTGCGGCATACGTATCGTACCCCATTCTGTGGTGATCAGCAAATAAATGCATAACGCATTTGCATATATATGCGGAGTGCACAGTGTGTCTATGTTTGTTGTAACTTATGGTCTCTTCATATGGACCGGAACTATAGATGACAAACTTGATAATATATGCATGTATGTTGAACACATTGTGTTTTTATTGGTTTTACATTATTTTTCATCGAAATTGGTTGGTTTTATCATAGTATTTGTTTTTCTTCGGGGGTATTTTGGTGCTCTTTAGAGGTTTTACAAGTATAAGATCATCCTGGCAATTTGTATCTATTTTGGGGACATCCATTCACAAAAGAACATATAATACTAACCAAAAAGATATATACTAACATAATCAAGGTTATTTTATAATCTGATAATGGCGATCCTGATTGAATAATGAGCAAATACAGAGAAGTCATTGAGTTTTGGAGAAGTGAATAGCTGAATACACTACTGTTAGAGAGGGATTACGTACCCGAACTCAGATTCAACAATTACTGAGAGCATAATTATTGGTGGGACATTTTTAGTTCTTAAATTTTTTTTTGTTTTCTAATTAAAAAAATTATATATAAACTAATTATGGATTGTCACGTGGTAGTGGAACCCACAAGCAGTTAGCGACATGCATTAGGATTGAAAGTGGTTTTAGGTAGAACGTGGTGTAACCCACACCTTTTTGAACTAAGAACCACACCAAAAACAACTGATAATGTTGCTCTGAGGAAGAATTAAATTATCGGTATTGCTAAGTCCTGCCCTAGAAACCCAAGTCTCAAATTCTTCTGCCCCGATCTCACCACCAAGAGAGACTCCTTCAACAAGCTAAAGTTTGATTCCATCAAAAGCTGATAACTGTAAACATTTGTTTGTTTAGTCTTGCACATTTGCGTCCCTCTTCGTTTTAGTCCCTCTTCGTTTTAGTCCCGCATAGTGGTTTTTGACAGTGTATTGTTGCCACTATTTAAACGAAATGTTATTACGCTGTACAAACCATGTAAGCACCATTATTACAATTTCTAAGGTAATTCAGATTCCACAAAACCATTTATAAATATAGATTATTATGACATATTAAATAAGGTCAGTCACTAATAAATGTGTTTTCCGGATAGTCTCTCTGTTCCTCGATGCCTTCTGTTGGATGAAGCATTATAAAGAGGTTGAGGTTTTAGACTTTCCGATGAAGGTTTGGTTGAAAAGGAGTATTAATCTCTGGTGTTTGTTTCTTCTTGATTTGATGGTGCTTAGTGGTTCTGGCTTGGTACTCTGAATTGAAGGTTCAGGTATGGTTGGTTTCGTGTCGTTGTATTGGTCATTGCATCGCTTATGTTCTTGTGCTTGTGTGGTTTTTGGCAAGAGTTCCGGCTGTTCAATGATTAGAAGACTTTCTCTCCCCTACTTAAGGATTGTTTATGGGTTTAGATGTAAGAGGTCTTTATGTTTTTTCTTTCTTTAGTCTATCTCATTGTGAGTTTGAGTCGCCTCTGCGTGGGTTCTAGTTGCCGCTTCCAATAGGCTCTTGTTTCTGGGGCTATATCGTTTTGCCGCCAGCATTGTATGAACATCGGTAATGAATGAATTTCAATTTGACAGAAAGAAAAAATAAGGTCAGTCACTTCCTTATTCAAATCATCTTTAATTTAGTTGACTATTGATACATGTCCTAAATATATATTCGTTTCAAAGTTGATTTACTTGTTCTTATTTAATTGAGAAATCAATTTGATTATGCTTTGCGTTATTAATACTCAATTTGTTAAAAGGTTGCAGACATGTTTGCTTACCTACTAGTAAAAAATTGATTAAGCACACTTAAAATCTAAACAAAACATTAAATAAGCAGTTGATTTATTTAGAGGTCAACACGTAACTAAGAGTATAAGAAAGTGATGGTATATAAGAAAGTTTATCTTTTAACTTTTATAATATTTCTGTAAAACATTGAAAAGTTCAGATCATTTTATCGATATGAAAAATCAGCGTATTTTTTCGTTTCAATTGATTTCGTAATTCTACATATATCCGATCCGCTATAAAGAACATTTTATACGTGTTTATATATATATATATATATATATATATATTTTTTTTTTTTTGGGGGCAAAATACGTGTATATATAATTGTTGTAATATAATTCATTAAACAACTCCATTTAGTGGATACATTTAAATAAAATGTTCCTTGTCCGATTAATTAGCTGTGATGTTTACCTAACTAAACACTAATAAAGCTTTATCAAAGCCAAGTCATGACAGCGACGTGCAAAAAAAAAAAAAACTCATGACGGCTAGGGTTTTTCAGGAATCTTTCCACTAAACTGATGAGAGCTTTTGCGTTGTGAAAATTACTTACAAACATCCCATTTTACATTTCTCCAACCAATCACATTAAAATGTGCAATCAATAATGAGAGAAAACATTTACAATATTCATTCAGTCAAATGCCATATCGAACAGAAAGCCCAAATGCAAAGGGCAAATTAGTAAATTAAGGACCACAAAAGCAAATGCGAAAACCCTAGAGCTCACAGCTATAAGTACCCTGAGTTGCCTCAGTCCTAGGGTACGCCCTCATTAAGTTCTCTCAGTTTCGTAGCCGCATCTCACATTCTAACTTGCAGGTGAGAAAACCTCTCTCTCTCTCTCGCTCCTTTACGTTTATCATCATCTTCCTCATATGATTCTAGATTCAGTCTCTCTATTATCGTTTATCCTTTAGCTATGTAGATATCTCATCGCAAACCGTACTTAGACTGTGATAATCACTTGCTAAATTCTGTTAATACTGTTTCGATCTCTTTAGCTTAAGATCTGATTCTTCACCGATCTATTTGCTTATCATGAATCTGATCTAATCTTATAGAGAATCGTCTTGTTTACTGTTAGCGTTTACTTTTTGCTCATATCGTTTTTTTTTCTGGATATTTGAAATTCTGTTATAGTAGTTGCGAGCAGGTTGTTACGATCTGTTGTTTTCTGGATTCGTTATATTGAAGCATTCTTGACATTGCGTTTTGTTGATTATATCACGTTGATTTTGTAATGATTTATTGACTACACTAATTGATATCTATGGATCTGTAAGTTATTGATGATGAACAGATTGTGTTTGTATTCTAAGTGTTTGATCCTTTTTTTGTGTTGACTTGTAGCTATGGGTAAAGAGAAGTTTCACATCAACATTGTGGTCATTGGCCATGTCGACTCTGGAAAATCGACCACCACTGGTCACTTGATCTACAAGCTCGGTGGTATTGACAAGCGTGTCATCGAGAGGTTCGAGAAGGAAGCCGCTGAGATGAACAAGAGGTCTTTCAAGTACGCATGGGTGTTGGACAAACTTAAGGCCGAGCGCGAGCGTGGTATCACCATTGATATTGCTCTCTGGAAGTTCGAGACCACCAAGTACTACTGCACGGTCATTGATGCCCCTGGACATCGTGATTTCATCAAGAACATGATTACTGGTACCTCCCAGGCTGATTGTGCTGTTTTGATCATTGACTCCACCACTGGTGGTTTTGAGGCTGGTATCTCTAAGGATGGTCAGACCCGTGAGCATGCTCTTCTTGCTTTCACACTTGGTGTTAAGCAGATGATTTGCTGCTGTAACAAGGTGAGTTAAACTTTACATTGCTTATTGTATTTGTATTGATTTGTTTTGATGCTGACAACTGTGTTTTTAATGTTGTACAGATGGATGCTACTACCCCTAAGTACTCCAAGGCTAGGTACGATGAGATCATCAAGGAGGTGTCTTCCTACTTGAAGAAGGTTGGGTACAACCCTGACAAAATCCCATTCGTCCCAATCTCTGGGTTCGAAGGTGACAACATGATTGAGAGGTCCACCAACCTTGACTGGTACAAGGGACCAACTCTCCTTGAGGCTCTTGACCAGATCAACGAGCCAAAGAGGCCCTCTGACAAACCCCTCCGTCTCCCACTTCAGGATGTCTACAAGATCGGTGGTATTGGAACGGTGCCAGTGGGACGTGTTGAGACAGGTATGCTCAAGCCCGGTATGGTTGTGACCTTCGCTCCTTCAGGTTTGACCACTGAGGTTAAGTCCGTTGAGATGCACCACGAGTCTCTTGTGGAGGCACTTCCAGGTGACAACGTTGGGTTCAATGTTAAGAATGTTGCTGTCAAGGATCTTAAGCGTGGGTATGTTGCATCCAACTCCAAGGATGACCCTGCCAAGGGTGCTGCCAACTTCACTTCCCAGGTCATCATCATGAACCACCCTGGTCAGATCGGTAATGGTTACGCCCCAGTTCTTGATTGCCACACATCCCACATTGCAGTCAAGTTCTCTGAGATCCTCACCAAGATTGACAGGCGATCTGGTAAGGAGATTGAGAAGGAGCCCAAGTTCTTGAAGAATGGTGATGCTGGTATGGTTAAGATGACTCCAACCAAGCCCATGGTTGTTGAGACCTTCTCTGAGTACCCACCTTTGGGTCGTTTCGCTGTTAGGGACATGAGGCAGACGGTTGCTGTTGGTGTTATCAAGAGCGTTGACAAGAAGGACCCAACGGGTGCTAAGGTCACCAAGGCTGCAGTCAAGAAGGGAGCTAAATGATGAGACTTCTCTCGTCTTTGGTTTTCTTTGCGTTACAAAAACTTTGATGGCGTTTGAGCCTTTTTCTTATTTTCTGCGACATTTTTCTACCTTGTTTTTGGATCTTTGAGACTATTATGGTTTTCGATTATGAAGCTTTTGGATAACTTTGCCTCATGTTTTAATTTTTTCTCTCGAGTGTTCATTTAGTTGCTTTCCTACTGTTTTAGATCTGTTTTGGTTACAGATTATTTGACGATAGATGGTTGTTATTAATCCAATCGGATGAGCATAACAGAGATTAACAAACAATTAAATACTCGCTGATCTTAAAAGATTAGAGTTAACAGAACAAGAAAACCCAAAATAATAGGATAAGGCCAAAAGGGGCAGCAAAACATCACACCAACGACGAAACAGACGTGTAAACAACACTGAAAACAACCAACAATGTTTTAACGTTTTTTGATCTTTAGTTTTACAAGAAACATGCATAACTCGATGAGATCTGAATATTTTTTGAGTTTCTTTGAACATTAAGCAGCCTTAGCTGTGTAAGAAGAAAAGCTCCATGACCCTAGATCTTGTAATAAGGCAACTAGTTCTCTAACAGCTTCACTCTCTCCGATCTCTTGAAGCCATAGGTCATCGAATCTCTCCACACTCATTCTTTCTTCACCTTGCCTCGTGGACTCATCTGATCTCCTTCTCTTTTTCATCCCCTTCCTTCTATTGTCATGATCTGCCATTCTTCAACATAGAAAGGAGAGAGAGATACAAGTCAGAAAGGAAACAGTGGAGATCTCAAGAGATGATCAAAAGAAAAATAAATACTCTTTGGAGAGAGATAACTGCTGAGCGATCCCAGAGATGCAGAGAGGGAAGCCATAGCTGCCACTAAGAGTTGTTGTCAGCATTTCTTTTCTCTGTAGTTTCAGAACTTGTGATCTTGTTTTTAAGAGACCTAAAGAAAGATAAGAAAATGACAAGATCTTGAGATGGGAAAGGATTAAGGATGGTATAGATTATATACGAGTACTACTGTGTAGTGAATATCCATTTTACTGTTTGTAACACACGAGAGACTTTTGTCCTGTTGCGTGGTAATATAGTAGTAGTAGTAGGTATGGACCATATGGTCTCTTTTTCTTCATAATTTATGTAAACGGTGAAAGTAAACATATATTGGCTTCACTTTACCTCTTTTCTCAGCATGAGAACTCGAGTTTGGATTCTTTTTTTCTTCTCTTTTACTCATTTGGATTCTGATAAAAGTATGATGAGGACAATAAAGCTTTTCAGTTTTTCTTTTTTCGGTGAGAATAAATGCAGCACTCACCTGTTTACATTATCAAAGTCTTCAACTTGTGTGTTCTAACCCAACTTGTTCAATAAAGCAAAGCAGAGTCTTTAAACACAGTAATGTTATTCTGGACATCACCGTCACCATTTATTACACGGTACGAGTACGACATACTATTACCAAGCAAAAACCAGACAACAAGAGTATTTATTAAAAAATAATGATTGGAATGGTTTCCAAAAACAAACTGTATAAAAATAAATATTCATTGATCAAAATTTATCACTAGATTAGTAAGATAATCTATACACGGGAGGTCTTACAAATATATTGTATTTTGTTAGAATTATGTATATAGTTAGAATGTATAAGTCACAAACGATACAATAGCTCAACTTATGCTACAAAGTAATAATCAAGGAGCTCTCACAGTACATAGTACCAACACTATACAAAGGACTAGTTAAGGATAACTTAATACTTCTGAGAACGTCTTCCTCTCCATATGCATGAAAACCTAACAAATTTTCGCCAGTCAATTAACTTTGTAAATACTTACCATCTGAAAACAAATTCGAAGTCAAAAGCTCAAATTAACTGAAGAAACCTACACACAAAATAACAAAAATCAATGTATCACCCAAGGTAATGTCAAATAATTGGAGATGACATTCACACGATGACCTCACTTGTGATAAAATGTCATTTGATTGTAGCCACATAGAAAGCGGCAAACTAAAAAACAATTAAAGAGCAATGATAGTGATGGTAAAAATTAAGTTCACTCTTCTTAGACCCTCATGGTAATATATATATGGATCAATGTGATGAATCTCATAGACTGACTAAAAATATATACAAAATCGTCATTTGAGTGTTCTTGCTTCTTCTACCGTTTGGAAACTGCAAACAAAGATTTGCTTCGCAGGAGAGATAGCGCCATCACCTCTTCTAATAGTTTAGTTGATGGTGATGACGGTATCTCTCCTACGTAGCAATCCTTATATGTGCATCTAAATGCAGTGAGGTTCAGCTCAAAGTCTAGACGTATATTGGTTAACTCGTATTACTTTCCCCTCTAACAAACGATCATTAACATTTCAAGTCATTTTTTTTTTTAATTCCAATCTACAAAATCATCCCTTTACTATTATTCTATTTTGTACTTACATTTCAAGAGCGTTATGAAACTGATCATTACATGAGACTTTGGTGTTTACCTTCTTCCTATACCGGAATTGATAATCTGTTCCATGACATATTCTTGCTCGTAGCTCGAAGATGTTTTTTCTTTTAAAAAAAGCTTGAAAATGTTTTGTTCTTTGTAAAGTTTTCTCATCAATGTGCTCTCAAAGATTAATACATCCCCAGCCTGGAATTTCAAGAAAAGCTTATCAATTTGTGAGTTGAGTTTTCAAAATTCACATGGTTTGATTCTCACCCACAAGAGAATGTATTTTCTTTAGTTTTTGCTTTGTTTTGTTTTATTTTATTTGTTTGCATTAGACAAGTTGCCTGTGAAAAAAGGGTTAGACGAAAACGTTGACAAATGTATGGGAACTATCAACATCATGAACTCAACGATCTCACTTTTAATCAGTTTCCATTAGAAATCAACTAGATGAGACCATTTCCCAAGACTCAAGAATCTTCGCTAAGCTGAATATATTAGTGTGTTTAGTAATATAATCTTTATACAATGTAAGATCACATATATATGACATCATTTTGCGAAACAACAATTTGCCGCTGAACATAATGGTAGTGATCATCAACTCATACATATATTTAAAATCTTTTTATCAGAGTTTGAGTATTGCTTTAAAATATAGCTGTACAAATTTAGATACACAGATAAGGACTGGATTTGAATAACCCGTGAATAAATATGTGCTTCTAGAATGCCTCTAGCTGAGAGAAAGCATATATTACTTCCAAATTGCTTGGTGGTGGATGGTGGTTTAAATGCTAACTCCTAAGACAATGTAGTCCAAGATTGGTGGTGGAAACCGTAAACAAATTAAACCGTGGCTGAAGACTCTGTCCATTGCTTAATTCTTAATATTACAGGATAGGTATGAATCTGACTCAGAGCTGACTATAAATCTCAAAAAGATGTTGTGCCACTGTCTCCACAAAGTCTACTTCATCAACTTGTTGACCGGAACTTGTTACTATATATCTTCTTTTTTTTCTATTTTTTTTCAATTCGATATTTATTGTGTAAAAGACAATTATTATGTTTAAACATTTTTGATTCGACGTTTTTTTATCAGAAATGTAATCTCACTTGACTAAAGTCAATGGAGTAATCTACTACATAAGTAACATGTTTTATTCAAAGTTAAAGCGGTTTTACATGGATCATCAAGATTCAAGAAACAAACAAAAAACAACAGTGACCACTGATTCAACATAGAGAAGAAGAGATCCGGATCCGGATCTAAGCTTTGGATCCGGACTTGTGGAGGTAGAGTTTCCCAAAGACGTGAAGAGCGGTAACAAAGCCGATGAAGCAGAGACTCATGATGAGTACAACGGTAGGTGAGATCTTCAGTCCAGGAGCTTCATCTGTGTAGAATCTCAGCATGTTGCTCGATCCTCCAGCTACGGATCCACCCCCTGATGACGCACCTCCACCGCCACCGAGCCTGCGACGACGCATGCCTGCTGTAGCGGCGGCGGAGCCACGTGGAGCGGCCAGACCGGGCCTGGCGGTTGAGGAAGCTGTGGAGGTTGATTGTTGGGACTGGGAAGAGCCTCTTGCCATTTTTTGTGTTGTACGGAGAAGGAGAAGAAGGAGAAGAAGGAGAAAGAGAGAGAGGTGAGGGAGGTTGATAAAAGAGGGTGGTGAAGGAAAGGCAAAATGGTAATTAAAGTTAAATCTGGGGGTGCTTTTAGGTGTATAGAATGATCAGGAAGAGACGTGGAGTTGTAGTAGAAACTACAGAGAGATAGAGAGACAATGAGTCAACGACTTTGGTTGGGCGTTACTTTCGGTATAAGATGAATGTTGTACGATTAAATAGTATTTTGAGTAAAGTTTCTATAAATACACAAATGCTTCTGTAATTTATATACAGTTTATGAAAAATACATGGATGAATTCGAGATTTTGGTTCTGATGGAAGGGTTTTGTTTTTTGAGATTTAAGATTTGTCTCGAGTTTTGTTGTACTATATAATATATAAGCCCGATTCATATGGGGACTTATGGTTTTGTAATTTCATTAGAGAAGATACTGGAATATTTAGAAAAAGGGACATGAAAGGTGAAAACATAAGAAATTTTCTAAAAATATGGTGGAAGTTGTATATCTGCAGCACTCTTTTGAGTCTTTGACACATGCCAAATCTGAGTCCAACTATGTCCTAAGTGTTTCTTTATTGTAGTTGTCGTTTCTTTTGTACTATTATTATGGACCATTTCCTTAAAAGTTCGAAAGAGCAGTAACAATGTTGCACAAATCAAAATTATAACGGCTCATACCTCAAAACTAAACAGATAATGAAATAGTGTAAGAGGATGAATAAATCAAACATCACATGGCTTTCCTCGCTTTGGAAGCATCGCCTGCATCATTATTGTCGGCGTTCTAGCCTCAAAGCCATGAGGCCCCCACAAACACCACTGCATGTTATTATTCTCCACTGTCATGAAGTTTCACCGCTATCAAGATCGTGCATCAGTGCGGCTGAGACTCTCATTCCTCTATGTATCATCTAAAACTTATTCCTCGTTCATCCCCAAGAGTTAGACTGACTCAAACCTTCATCTTCAAGAAGTTTTGCTTTTGTAGTCTATATCAAGGCTTTACCATGAAAATAGCAAAAATATTACTATATAAAAAACTGAGAAAAAAAAACTCTGGTATATAAAGAGAAAAAAGAGACAAACTCGGAAACAAACAGAATTTAAACAAGTCCAAAAGACTGAATTCCAAATTAGATCGGAAAACATAGCTAGGATCCACCATTATCAAAAGATGTTACAACCAAGAAACTAAGATGTGATTTTGATCTCTCTCAAATGTTGTAGATAGAGTCTCTTCTATGTAGTTTTTATAGTACAATTCTGTCTAAACAGTTAACTCTGTGAAAAGATTTAGTGGGTATGTTTTTCTTATACTACAATTTAATCAACTAAATTGTTTGTGTGTATCAGCTGATCGCGTCAGTTACATAAATAATGAACTGGTGGTTTGATACTTTGATCAAACGGATGGATAGCAAATATATGCAATTAAAAATAAACATACAATTATTATTCAAAAAATAAACAAATATACAATTATTTTTCCCCACATTGCCGGGTTTTAATCCTAATATATATATTATTAACACTTACGAAACTGAGTACAGACATACTAGAAAATAACAGAATCAGACATGAACTCGTCATCACAACCAAACCAACCATCAACAACAAACAACAAAGACTGCAGTCAAAATAAGGTTTTCTTGTACAACGAGTGCCTTAAAAATCAAGCGGTTAGTTTCGGCGGCTACGCTCTTGACGGCTGCGGTGAGTTCATGCCCAAGTCAACCACCAGCCTCACAGACCCTCCATCCCTTAAGTGTGATGCATGTATGCCACCGTAACTTCCACCGCCGTGATCCTTCCAACGTCGTGAGTCACCATACAACCTCAACACCGCTGCAGCCAGTGGCATCCACGCAGCACTTGGTTCTCTCTCTCAGCAGCTCCGGTTTCTCTAGACCCTCGGATCAAGAGAAGGGTAAAATCACGGTGGATAGGGAGAAGAAACGTAAGAGGACAAAATTCACGGCCAAGCAGAAGCTGATGATGAGAGGTTTCGCGGAGAGAGCGGGTTGGAAGATCAACGGCTGTGATGATAAGTGCGTAAGAGAGTTTTGTAACGAAGTTGGGATAAAGAGAGGAGTTCTAAAGGTTTGGATCCAAAACAATAAGAACTTTGCCAACGTGAAGAATAGTGACACAACTTCCTCCATATTTCAAAAGTTGTAGATCTCTTTCTCGTTGGTTGATGCTTCTTTGTCTTCTTGAAAAATAAATATATTAAACAAATTAAGGTATACCATCTTAGTTTCTTCTAATAATTTTCTTTTTAATCGATTATGACACATGAGATAAGATTTTGAAGCTTGAATGCTTAGTATTTTATTAGAAAATCTACATACATCCAACAATAAAGATTAAGAAAATCACTAAATGTTTACCTTCTTATTCGTTTTACTGCTTATTTGCTGAAACAATGCAGTTCAACAATTCATGAATGGTTAACCATGCTGATCTGCGACCGTTCCTATAATTGCTTCCTTAACAACGAAAACTAGTTGTCTGTACACCTTTTAGAATAGTAGTAATTCAAGAAGTGATCTATTCTCGATGTTTATTCCATACAACGAATCTCCTGAACTTTTAAGGCAACTAGACATAGTTTAACAAAGATACGTATTTCTTTGTTCATGTTCCTATTTTGCCTTTTTCTAGTTAAGGAAGAAGACTCTGTAACAGCCTCGGATACTCATCCTAATTAAGGATTATGCAGATGTTTTTCAATCTAATATATGCTTTTTGTTAAAGCCGTACTGATTCTTCACGCACAACTAGAAGTGTGTGATCGATTTAGATATTCTTTCTCATCATAAGCTCCCTGTTGGGTGTGATATTTAAACAAATGATTCGTTGGTGTTCGTCATCAAATATATGACGGTTAAAGTTTTGATTCCGAATTATAAAAGATATTCTTTGCTGTAGGTCTATTTTTAATTATACAAGTTGGTGTCATTTCTGTAAGAATCCATTTAAGCAACCTTATTTATATATATTGAAAAAAAAATAAGAAGATTTGATCAAAAGGACAAAAAAATTCTAGAGATAAACAAAAACAAAATTCACTCTCACAAAAATGAAACAAAATAAAAACCAAATATGGTTAATCAAACGTAAAATCCATGAAAAAACAACAGAGAAAATAAGGAATAAAAATGCATGGGTAATAATAGAACATTTAACGTATCATCACAAATAAAACCATGCAAGCGATATACTAATGACGCAAACCAACACGTCACTACGAACAGAACCAACTTCACGCAAACCAAACGAAGCGTCCGCAGGAGAATCATCATCAGAACTATCACCATCCTCCTTCTTCTTCTTGGTCTTCGCTACCATCGGAGCCGGAGCCGGAGCGGGAGGACGAGGGTCAAAAACTTGCTGAGGAAGCAAAACCTTATCAACCTGATAAACAGCTAACTGTCCATCGCTGTAGACACTGCCGGAGACAGTGGTGTTGGTTACACCGGAGGTAATATTTACGGTATTTCCACTGGTGGTAATGTTGAGAGGGAAATGTCCGTCGGCGGAGTCACCGGCCTGAGTCCGGAGAGGGTTACTGATGGTTTGGAAGTTTGAGGAAGAGACATAACTTGGTATGACATGAAACTGAACCAGCTCTACTTGTTGCTCGTCGGTTAAGGAGTTTAGGGTTCCAGCTTTGAGACTTGAGAAGGAAGAGTCGCTTGGTGCGAAGATAGTGATTCCATTGTCTGAGTTGTTGAGCTGGCCGTAGAGTTGGCTAGCAACGCCGGTTGATTTGAGTAGACGGATGAAGATTGTGAACTGACCTGCTTTTTCTAGGATCTTGGTGACGTTTGTGGGTCCTGGTGGAGCTGGAGCGGCGGCTGGCTGAGATTGGGTTCCGGGAGTGGATGTGAGGAGGAGGAGGACGGTGGAGAGGAGGAGAAAGAAGGGAGAATGCTCCATGGTGGATGTGTATGTGTTTGTGAGTGTTGGTGTTTTTTGTTTTGTTTTGGTGAGATACAAGTTTATGCTTTATAGGAAGTAGCAAGGGTTATAATAAAATGGGGGAAATTAATTGGTTAAGAGGTCAACATTTTTACAACTAAGTTGATTGTTATTTAGGGATAAGTGATGATTTGATTTAATCTTTTGTTTGGTGTGTAGAATTTCCATCACATCTTGTCAGATGATCTGTTTTACCTCTTGGAAAAATGATGTGATAACTATATATGGCTATATGCCGTCAGTAACAAATGAAGGATAATTGTGTGTTTGGGTTTAGTGTAATGATGTTTTAGGAGCAAATTATGAAAGCAGATTACTTAATTATTAGATGCTTATTGGAAACCATGCATCTAACTAGATATTTATTTCATTTTGGTTAATAGCAAATCACTTAAGAGTATATCAAACCTTACTCCATTTTCTATTCCATATGGTCTGAAAATCATTACTTTGTTTGTAATTATCAAATCCTCTGTATGAAAAGGTGGGAGGAATAATGGAGGGTGTGGTATATGATAATGGAAGGAGCAACTTGCAACTTTGCTTGAAAATTAAGAAAAAGCAAACCGATCAATTGATTTGTGGTGGGCTCTCTTCAATTTTAAGCATATTTCATATTTAAGCCTCAAGCTTTTACTTATTTGGTTTGTAGTATTATGTTGCCAGTGTATCACATTCACTTTATATGGTTTAACATAATTCATATATAACACACAAAATACTTAAAACATATATATAAAAACGTATTCATTCGTATTCAAAACACAACAAAAGCAACAACGAAAAACAGAAATCAAGGGTTTGATTCTGGCGCAAGAAACGTCTTACATTTCTAAAACCCTCAAAAACATACAAACAGGCCAAACATTATTTTCTTGGCTCTTATTACATTGATTTTTATGAATATAAAACATTTCAGAAACAAAACAGGTACAAATAAGAATTTTAATGAATTTATAAAATAATGGTAGGTTTCCATCTTTTATCTTCTTCTCATTAGATATCAGCAGAGAGTGTTTTTTCTTGAGGCTTAAACCTGCAGAGTCTACAAGTCGGAGAGAACAGAGAAGGCGTTTGGTATTTGTCTTCTCCTCCCACCACAGGCATTGGGACTCCAATCTTGGCAGAGCTAACGTAATCAGTACGGTAGGTTTTCCCCAAAACACCCTCAACAAGCTCACTTAGGTCAAGGAACTTGAACTGAGTCTCAAGATGGGCAAATGCGTCATCTTGAGGCAACTGATAGTTGTGAACTCTGTCCTCTTCTTTCCCAATAGGTCTTACTCTGATGTCCATCTGGACAAGACCAGAGACAAGTACCCTCACGCTGTTTCTCTCGTCGGTTCTTTCGATGACAATCTCTCTTTGTCCCGAGATTACCCTCCATTCGGATTGTTCGTCTTCAGGTAGTGTGATGAGTTCTTCGTTGAATCTAAGGGTAAATGCGTCAGAGTTTTCATCCCATTGTGTCACTCTATTGGCTGTGATCACGAGGTTGTGGGTTTCGAACATGACATTTAGGGCTTGAACCCATGTGAAGTCTCTGGTTCTTCCAACGGGTCTTGTACCGATGAAGTGAGCGTTGATCTGGAGATTGTTGTCTGAAACGATTGCAAAGTTTCCTCCTTTAGATCCATGGAAATAGAACATCCTTCCGTCCCCTCCAACAAATCTAGGATCGTAACATAGAGAACCGTAGCCGTTGCAGTTAGGTTTTCTCCCTGTAAGAAAGAAGTAAGTAAACCTTTTCCTTGTGAGACAAGTAACCAATCCACAACGAGATTACTTGTGAGAGAAGCAAATGTGAAACTAAAACAAAGCATATTGTACTTACATTTGCATGTAGCTTCGCATTTGCTAGTGCAGTCAATGAAGCAACCTTTGGTGTTTCTGTTCTTGGTGGGCTTTCTCTTAGGACATTCACCAGGACAAACAAGAGTTTTGTAATAACATGCACCCTGAGCTTGGCACATGGCTTGCTCCTGTCCTGTAGGCAACGGTGAAAGCACTCTGTATCTAGCAGCTGCTTCACTCTGCTCCTTGTCCTTCCTCTCTTTATCCTTCTTCTCCTTTTCCTTCCTTTCCTTGTCTTTCTTTTCCCTTTCCTCTTTCTCTTTCTTTTCTTTCTCCTTCTTGGCCTTCTTTTCCTTCTCGTCCTTGTCCTTCTTGTCTTTATCCTTGTTCTTTGGACCGTTACCGCTGCCTTTGCCTTTGCCATTGCCATCATCTCCTCCTTTACCCTTTGCTACTTGTCCCTCATTCCCCTGGCCGTTATTACCGTTGCCTTTGCCGCCTTCGCTGGCAGCAATGACAATATCGGTCAAGAGAAGCAATGCGAAGAGAGCTACAAGCACATATGACTTTCTATGCTCCATATCTCTCAAGTTCTAGTCTTAATCTTCTTCTTTAGTTTCTCAAGATGTTTCTTGTGTGTTTTGGTGTGGTGGAATGTGATTGCATAAGGAGGGATTTTATAGAGTGACGAACGAATTGAGTTGACTTTTTAAAAACTCATATGGTAATATCTTAAGAAAGATGACTCTTTGAGTTTATCTCAAGTCAAAAAGCCTACTTGAGGAAGCTTCAATATCAAAACTATTAGCTAGAAGCCTATAATAGTTATTTAGTTTTATCAAAAGTCAAAACCGTACGTAATGATCATTTCACATTGTTTTAACCCATCTCCTTAAGCTACATGATCAGAACATATTTCAAATTACTTCATTTCTTCCCAACACAAACATATAAAGGAACCATTATTGTTATTCCAATCCAAATTTTATTCTTATAATGTTTTTTTTTATAATTTTTTTTTCTTATTATGTTTCTACTTCTAGTTTGTTTTGTATAAATAACCCGACATTTTTGTCAATTTTTTGCTTATAGTAGTAATTTGTCAATATTTGTTTACAAAAAAAAAAGAAATTTGCCAAATTTGTTGCACAGAAAAAATTGCCAATATTGCTACACAAAAAAAAAGTATGCCAATAGTATGAAATCACTATGTACAAGATTCCAAATATTTATTCGGACACTTTTATGAAAAGAGAATCTAATGGTTTGTTCTTGATCCCTTGATGTGCAAGGAACGACCTAGCTAGAACGTGAAGATGCCTTGAAAGAAGAAGAAAGCCCCTCATGTCTGTAAATGTGTGTATTTTAAGAAACTTTCATTGGTTCACAAGCCGCCCACTACTACAGACTTGCACTGCACTTTTCCGAGACACCAAAGAAAAGTCATACGCGCCAAAACGGTTGACCGGTTTACTACAAACCAGTTTCTTTTCTCTTGAACCAAAAAATCAAACCGAATTATTACTATCAAAGTTGGTTAAATAATAAATTTGGTATTTTAAAAATGGGTCACGAGGCAATCACGTGCGAATACAGAGGAAAAGACTATTCTTTCTCTGTTCCTGGCTTCGCCCTCTGTTCTCCACGACGGTGAACGTCCAAGTGAAAGATGTTTACTGAGATGAACTTCTCAACGAGGCTCGCTGAGAAACTTCCCGGCATCTCACCGGTGCCGTCTTCTCTCCCCTTGCGTAAAGGTTGTCTCTTTTAATCTCTTTCAGTTGTTTCACGCTTGGCTTTTTCGTCCTGTGACCTTGTGTATTACTACTTGTTCGTTTTGGTCTCTGATAAGATTGGATGCAATCTAAGGGAAATATAACTTTCTGGGTTTCTCTTCGTTAGTAATTTCCAGCTGAAAGTTGTTGGAGTAAGCTTGAAATAGCTTGGAGATCAAGCTTATCCTAATCACACCGAGATATGGTTAATAAGAAGATTAGGAATTATCTAAAGAGTTTTAGGAGTTATCTAAAGATATTACCAAGATTAGGAGTTATCTAAAATCTTGTATAAAAGAGAACTGCAGGCTTGTTGCAGTCTTCGTGGGTTTTTGCTATTGTGTNATCTAAAGATATTACCAAGATTAGGAGTTATCTAAAATCTTGTATAAAAGAGAACTGCAGGCTTGTTGCAGTCTTCGTGGGTTTTTGCTATTGTGTTTGAGAGAAAGCTTAAGGTTTGAGAGGATATTTCCTTAAGGTTAATAAGAGAGCATATTCTTATTATTGTGATCTTACATACAAACGTGAAACTCATATAATATTTGGTATCAGAGCTTCAGGAACGATCAATTCGACATTATGGGAGATATTGTTGTGTCGAAATCAAAAGATGGTGGAGGTACCAAAATAAGCTGCCCCATGCTTACGGAGGTTAACTACACGGTCTGGGCAATACGGATCAAACTCTTACTGAAGGTGCACAAAGTATGGGATGCGGTGGAAGATGAATCTGATGATGGAGACAAGAAGGATATGGCTAAAGCCTTGATCTTCCAGTCCATACCTGAAACACTTGTACTGCAACTTGGTGAGTTGGATTCCGCAAAGAAGGTGTGGGATGCAATAAGCACTCGTTATGTAGGAGCAGAACGAGTACGTGAAGCAAGGTTGCAGACATTGATGAGTGACTTTGAAAGATTGAAGATGAAAGACAGTGAAACTATAGATGACTTCGTTGGGAAGTTAACTGAGATTCGATCTAAGTCTGTTGCTCTAGGAGAAAACATTGAGGAGACTAAGCTAGTAAAGAAGTTCCTGACTAGCCTCCCGCGAAAGAAGTTCATTCATATGGTCGCATCACTGGAGCAAGTCCTTGATCTCAAAACAACGAGTTTTGAGGACATCATTGGTCGATTAAAGGTTTTTGAAGAGAGGGTGAAGGAAGAAGAAGAAACACAGGAGACTCAGAGCAAGCTCATGTACGCAAGCAATGATTCTCAACCTACCTCAAACTCATACCATCGTGATCAAAGTAACTATTACAGAGGCCGTGGTCGTGGTGGACGCTACTACAACCGTGGTAGAGGTCGAGGTAGATACACTGAGAGAGCGCAGGATGCTGCTGATATATCCAAGATACAATGTTTCAGATGTGATAAGTATGGTCACTACGCCTCTGGATGTCCGGACCGCCTGCTAAAGTTGCAAGAAGCTACTGAGACAAAAGATGAAAATACGCAGGAAGCAGAGGAGTTAATGATGCATGAGGTTGTTAACCTCGATGAGAGAAACATTAAGCCTAAGGATTTTGAGACTTACTCAGATAATGTGTGGTACTTAGATAACGGGGCAAGCAACCACATGACTGGAAATCTTAAGTACTTTAAGAAGCTGGATGAAACTGTCACAGGGAAGGTGAGGTTTGGTGATGACTCTAGAATTGACATCAAAGGAAAGGGCTCTGTACAGTTCTGCAGTAAAAATGGAAGAAAGAAACTCTTGGGAGAAGTATACTACATTCCAGACTTGAAGAGCAATATAATTAGCCTGGGACAAGCTACAGAGGCTGGTTGTGATGTGAGGATGAAAGATGAGTTTCTCACTCTGAGAGATAAAGAGGGAAAGCTAATAACAAAGGCTAAGAGATCAAGGAACCGGCTGTATAAGGTCACAATTGATGCAGTCAGTGAAAGATGCTTGCAACTTCAGACAACAAGCGACTCATCAAGATGGCATTACAGACTGGGACACATAGGCAGAGAATCAATGAAAACTATGATCAGCAAAGAACTCGTGATAGGAATACCAAAGATCTCTGTCGAGAAAGATACATGCTCAAGCTGCTTACGTGGAAAACAAGCAAGACACTCATTCCCACAAGCAACTATGTTCAGAGCACAGAGAGTATTAGAGCTCATCCATGGAGACCTTTGTGGTCCAATAACACCAACCACGCCATCAGAGAAGAGGTATATACTTGTGCTCATTGACGACTACTCTCGTTACATGTGGTCGATGCTACTTAGTGAGAAGGGGGAGGCATTTGAGAAATTTAAGAAGTTCAAAGCCATTGTTGAGAAAGAGAAGGGAACTGCCATTGGGATGCTTCGAACCGACAGAGGAGGAGAGTTTGTTTCGAATGAATTCCAGTCCTATTGTGAAACGAATGGCATCACAAGACAACTTACAGCTCCATATTCTCCTCAGCAGAATGGAGTTGTGGAGAGGCGAAACAGAACCCTTCTTGGTATGACCAGAAGCATCTTAAAGCACATGAATCTACCTAACTATCTGTGGGGTGAAGCGGTGAGACACGCAACATACATTATAAACAGAGTAGCCACGCGAGTACTAGTGCTTAAGACACCATACGAAGTCTATAAGGGAAGGAAGCCTAACCTGGAGCACATTCGTGTATTTGGATGTATCTCTCATGCAAAGGTTGATAGTCATCGATTGAAGAAGCTGGATGACAGATCTAGAACACTAGTGCATCTTGGAACAGAACCAGGTTCGAAAGCTTATAGACTGCTTGACCCGGTGAATAAGAAAGTGGTAGTGAGCAGAGATGTAATATTCGAAGAAGACAAGAGTTGGGATTGGCAAAACGGTGAAAAGAAAAAGACTACAGAAACGTTCCATGTGCAGTTTGGAGACTATGGAAATTATGGGATCAGTGATAGTGACGAGATAAACCATGAGCCTGAACTTCAAAACGAAGAAGTAACTGCAGAGCATCATGATACAGAAGAACTTTTGGAAGAATCAGAAGATAACGGTGATGCTGCAAATGAGAACTTAAGAAGGTCACAAAGAGAAACCAGAAGGCCAAGTTACTTGGATGACTACATCCTTTATGCAGAAATCGAAGGAGAACTGCTACTGCAGAGTATGAATGATGAGCCATGGAGTTTTGATGAGGCAAAGGAACAGAAAGTTTGGAGGAATGCGTGTGAGGATGAGATACACTCGATAGTCAAGAACAAGACATGGGATCTGGTGGAACTCCCTACAGGAGCCAAGGCAATTGGTCTTAAGTGGATCTTTAAGACAAAACGCAACTCGGATGGAAGTATCAACAAACATAAAGCAAGATTAGTAGCAAAGGGGTACATACAGCGGCATGGAGTTGATTTTGATGAGGTGTTTGCACCTGTTGCACGCATTGAGACGGTACGATTCATACTATCTCTCGCCGCATCGAAAGGTTGGCAAGTGCATCACCTAGATGTGAAGACGGCTTTCCTCCACGGTGACCTGAAGGAAGAGGTGTACGTAGCACAGCCAGAAGGCTTCATAATCGAAGGACAAGAGAGCAAGGTTTATAAGTTGAACAAGGCACTCTATGGGTTACGACAAGCTCCGAGAGCATGGAACGAAAAATTGAACTCAGTACTTGGCAATTTGGGATTTGTGAGATGTTCTAAGGAGCCTGCATTGTATCGTAGATATGAGAAAACAGAGCTTCTGTTGGTGGCTGTATATGTTGACGATCTTCTCGTAACAGGAACAAGTCTGAAGCTGATTACAGGTTTTAAAAAAGAGATGTCTGCACGTTTTGAGATGAGTGACCTGGGAAAACTCACATATTATTTGGGTATTGAGGTATATCAACATGATGATGGGATCACTCTGAAACAAGAGAGATACGCAAAGAAAATATTGGAAGAAACAAGGATGCAAGATTGCAATAGTGTTCATGTGCCGATGGATCCCAGTCTCAAGATATCAAAAGCGTGTGATGAGCAAAGAGTTGATGAGAAGGAGTACAGAAGAAACATAGGGTGTCTCAGATATCTTCTTCACACCAGACCTGATATTTCATATTCGGTAGGTGTGTTGAGTAGGTATATGGCAGAGCCAAGGACTTCACATGCAGCGGCGATGAAGCAGGTTCTTCGTTACTTGCAGGGTACACCGTCTTATGGTCTGACCTTCAGGAGAGGGTCTAGTGCAAAGTTGACTGGTTACAGTGATGCAAGTCACAATGTGGATGAAGATGATGGGAGAAGCACAACTGGACACGTCTTTTACTTCTTTGAATCACCTATCACTTGGTGTTCACAGAAACAAGAAACAGTGGCTCTGTCATCTTGCGAGGCAGAATTCATGGCAGGAACTGAGGCAGCAAAGCAGGCTATTTGGCTCCAGGATCTTCTTAGTGAGATAGTTGGTGAACCAGGCGAGAGAGTAGTGATTTACATCGATAACAAATCAGCTATAGCCCTCAGCAGGAATCCGGTGTTTCATGGCCGCAGTAAGCACATTCACAGGAGGTATCATTTCATAAGGGAGTGCGTGGACAACAACTTGATCGAGGTTCAACATGTAGCTGGAAGTCAACAACGAGCAGACATTCTAACCAAACCACTAGCAAGACTTAGATTCAAGGAGATGAGGAGTATACTTGGCGTTGAAGACTTATCGAGAAATGGGTTCAAGCTTAAGGGGGAGAGTGTTGGAGTAAGCTTGAAATAGCTTGGAGATCAAGCTTATCCTAATCACACCGAGATATGGTTAATAAGAAGATTAGGAATTATCTAAAGAGTTTTAGGAGTTATCTAAAGATATTACCAAGATTAGGAGTTATCTAAAATCTTGTATAAAAGAGAACTGCAGGCTTGTTGCAGTCTTCGTGGGTTTTTGCTATTGTGTNATCTAAAGATATTACCAAGATTAGGAGTTATCTAAAATCTTGTATAAAAGAGAACTGCAGGCTTGTTGCAGTCTTCGTGGGTTTTTGCTATTGTGTTTGAGAGAAAGCTTAAGGTTTGAGAGGATATTTCCTTAAGGTTAATAAGAGAGCATATTCTTATTATTGTGATCTTACATACAAACGTGAAACTCATATAATAAAAGTTTTGCCCTTTTTGTCTCTTTCTGCTCTTTTCTACTCTGTTTCAAAATCTACCATCATTGAATCCAGCATGGAATTGTGTTGTTAGGTCATATAGCTTGTTCCAAGCCCAGTTTCTAATTCAAGTTATCTACTTTATGCATTTTTGGTTGTTTAGTTGAATATGAAAGCTAATGAGCACTCATCAATCCTTTCTTCTTTTCATGTGTGTAAGGAGTCACCGAGTTAAGATTATTTTCAGTTTCTAACCACAGTAGAAGACTGAGATCAGGATTGCAAAAGAATATGACTTGGAGTTTACAGAGAGCAGAACTCTGTGAACTGAGCAGTTCATGCATAGTACATCCCGCATCTGAAGCCTATGCACAAGAAGCTATCCAAGCGATCAAATCCGAGAAAGTTATCACTGTGCCAACGGATACACTTTATGGATTCGCCTGTGATGCTTGGTAAAATATAGTTAGCTGAATAAAGCTTTACATTTTAGCAAACTAAGTTGTGGTTTGAATAACATGAAACAGTTCTTTAGAAGCTGTTAACCGGATATATGAGATCAAAGGCAGGAAGCTTACAAGTCCTTTAGCCATCTGTATTGGTGAGGTATCAGATATCAAGAGAGTTGCTACCATAAACCACTTACCTCACGGTTTACTCCACTCGCTCTTGCCCGGTCCAGTCACTCTCGTCCTTCAACGAGGTCTGTATATCTTCTTCTTAACGTGGTTGCATCGATATGATGTGAGAGTGTTCTTGTAGTGTTTTTGTAAAACAGGTGAGTCAAGCATTCTTGAAAGATCATTAAACCCTGGGGTTGATACCATTGGAGTAAGGGTTCCATATTGTGAATTCATTATGGAAGTATCCAGAGGTTCGGGGAGTGTTTTGGCTCTTACAAGTGCTAACCTAACCGGTGATAGAAGCATCGTTTGCGTGAATGATTTTGAAAGTCTTTGGCAGCATTGTGCTTATGTTTATGATGGTGGTTTGCTTCAATCAGGGCGTGAAGGATCAACAATTATTGATATGAGTAAAATAGGAAAATATAAGATCATTAGACCTGGAAGGTATGTGATCATGGATTTAAAGTTTGAAAATCTTTGTGGTGGTTCTTGAGCTAATATACTTGTAAAAATTTTGTTTTTGTTGTTAAATTCAGCGCAGAGCAAGCAACAGTAGCAATTTTAGAGAAGTATAGAAGAATGTTAAGAGAAGAAAGTTGGTTAAAGACTGATCTGATATTGAAGAATTTGAAGATTTTGCTTTGGTTATAACTCTATTTTTGGTTCAAGTTATCAGCTGATATGCATGTTGTTTAATTTGTTCATCTATTATAGTATGATCATTGTGAAGACCATATAATGGTTTGTAAATTAGTTAAATATGGTATAAAAACTGGGATCTCCAAAAGGTCAACATTGTCAAAAAAATATATATAAATGTATACATTATATTCGTATAGATGTTTACAAAAATAGTCATTCTCTTACAACATAAAAATGTTTGTAAAACAAGAAATCAAAGTATAAGAAACACAAGATCGCTTCTTTCATTCTCCAAGTAATAAGGACGTAAACATATTATGTTTATGTTTACATCATTCGTTTAGTTAGGAACATATTGATCATGCATGCATGGAGACTTTTTTTGTTGTTGTTGCTAAATGCATGCCTGGAGACTTGAAGAATAAAAAGGATCGGATTTAATCAAAGAGGCAGCAGCATACGGGGGTGGGTCTGTCAAGGAGGCAGTGGCCGTCCATGGCTACAGGGTCGGTGCTTTTGTGGCAATAGGCGTCGCAGTCGCTGTCCTCATTGCATGTTCCTCTCAAACGGCATGGTCCGTCCATTTCTTCCCTTTCTGCAAAAACTCAAGAAATTTGTGTATTAGGGTTTATGATCATGTTGTTTTTTGTTGTTATTGATAGAAGATAACTTTAATATAAAAACGTTTAATTAGTAGAAAAAAAAGAAATATCTATGAATGTAAAAATAATGAAGACGAGTGGAAACCTATTTCAGATTGGGCAGTAATAACGAGAGAGAAGATGACAAGAAGGGCAACAAGTTGAAATCTTGATGAGGCCATTTTTTTTTGTAGTTTGTTTTATTTTATTTTTAATAATGCAAGATATGCAACTTGATTGTGCTTGGAGAAACTTTGATCGGTCTTTGGGGGGTTCTTATACATAAAATTAGTTTTAAAGATAGTAAGTTTTTTAAATGTAGTCAAGATAACTAATGGTGGACGTAGCGATGAAAGAAAATAGAAATCCTCAAAATATAATTGATTTTTTTTTTAATTAAAATAGAATTAACTTTCGTTTCTTACATCTAAACTTGGTGAAGATGACAAAGAATGGACAATAGATATGACTTATGAGAAACTTTTATTATTTGAAAAGTTTCAAGAACCAACTGCATGCCATACAACTTAATGCAGTCACGTCCACTGAGATGTCCATAATACGTTAAATATAAGAGGTTTGATTATAGTGAAGATAATCAAAAATAATCGTACAAATATCTTTCCATGGACATGCCATGGTCCATAACATACCTAGAGACTATAATAAAAGAGAGTCATCATATTTTAGGACAAAATCTGATTATATTGCACATTAACCCAAAAACATACGAAAGCTACACACCATATCCATGTTCAGAAGATCTCAGTGGCGGCATATTCATATCGTGATCTACGAATGTTCTCTCGCCGTTTCTTCAACACATAGCCTCCGAGACCAACCATACTCGCTGCCGCAATCGCTCCAAACGCGATTCCAGCTTTCTTTCCACCTCCGGAGGAACTTTCCCTCTCTGTTCCTCCGCTACTTTCATTTTGGTTGAGATCACTGGCTTCCGGTGACTGAGACGGTGCCTGATGAATGTAACCGGGAGGCATCGCCGTTGGAGAGTCCGATGGGGAATGAGATGGAGACATTATTCCAGTTTCTGGCTGCGGCGGGTATGAATAATACTCAAGTGGAGATGGAGCTGGAGAAACTTTTTTAGTTGATATCTTACCAGAAACGAAGCCTACCGTTAACAGAGCTATGATTATGAAACTAACCTTCATCATCTCGAAGTCTCTCTCTCTTTTTGAAGACGAGATAGATAATATATAGGGTGTGCAGAAGTGTTTAGAAACCATATAGGGAGCGAAGCAAGAGATTAAGAAGTTATATTGTTTGTTTTTCACTTAAAGTTCACCTGAGAAATGCTTTGGCACCTAACGGTCAACGCTTACGATATTTGCAAATAGTAATATTGGATTATTTTGCTAATGGAGGTACAAATAATTAAAAGGGAGAAGAGCACATGAAAAGGAAGTAAGATATAATAATTAGAGTCAATAATGAGAATGGCAAGGCAAGTAACCACTTTATATTAATGTTGACGCCTACGTAAAGTTAACTATATTTCTTTTAATGGTTGACTTTCGTAAGGTTTAGCAACTCCATGAAAGAAGAAATGTAACTATTAGTGAAAAAAAGCATTAGGATACTAACCACACATATTAGAGCAACTGCATTATGAGTTTATGACAGAGGTTCACACGATTCCCGGTAAAAAACTAATATTAAAATAATCAATGATGTTGAATTCGCCTTAAAACAGCTCTTGCGGATGAACCGGTTCATGACATTTTATGCGAGCTCCGCGCCACGTGGCGGCCTGCTATTGATCCCTTTTTAGTTTTTTTTTTCTTTTTAAAGAAAATCAAACAAAAAATAATAATAATAAAAAAAAAAAATCAGTGAACCCCAAAGCGGGTCACTGATGTACCTGCTCTTATGATAGTTCTGTTTTTACTAAAGGCTCTGCAATAAAGTGTGTAACTACAGTTCTACAAGCTGGCCTTTGAAACCTAAGTCATACTCTGGAAGAAACTTTTCAGAGTCATTTGTGATTGCAAAACTGCAAAGAGAACATATACTTTCATGTTGATAAATCCGCCTAAGCAATCTCTTCGAATTGAATAATCCTAGTATCCTACTAAAACATTTGACACCGCCTGCTTCTTGATTGCACTCTCAAAAATCTCAGGGGCACTCTCTCTGGTGAATTTTTTTTGTTGTTGTTCAATCTCTCTGGTGAAACAAGAAACCAAAGGAAGCTTGTTGGCAGGCACACAAAACTAGCTAAAGGCGCAGGCTTAAGAAACTCCCCATCTGCCGATTAATAAACCAAAACATAATGAGCCAAAAATAAAAACAATACTGCTAAATCAAAGGCGTAATAAAAATTTACAGAACCAACCAAAAGGGCTAATCTTCTCCTCTGCTCTCTTTAACTAAGACAAGAGCAGGCCTTTTAGACTCCGAATCGATATGAAATATTTTGAAAACATCAGGGTTATTAACTGTTTGATAGAAATTCACATCATCTTCAGCATCATCTAACGTGGATAAAGAAACGTGACCACCAAAGAGTTCAAGTAACCCAAGACAACTTTGTTCCCAGAAGTCAACACTTTATCAGCATCATCCAACGTGGTTAGATTATACACACTAGGAGTCTAGGAACTATCTTCTTCTTCACCCACATTACTATTGTTTCTCTAAATCACAAAGTAGTAAGATTTTTCAGGAAACCTAGCTTTCATTAGTCCAACAAATGCCACAACAATACAATCCACACTAAAGATTTCAACTTGCAATACAATTCACACTAAATTTTTTGAACTTGCAATACAATTCACAGTAAAGATCTATAAAAATTCACACTAAGGATACCGGTAAAAAAAAAAATTTCCTGACAGTAACTAAAACTTATTTAAGATAGATTTAAGAATAATTATCTGTAATATTAAATCATTTTTCATATATAGTTTCAAGATGTTTTCTCATTTTTGTTGAGACAAATTCCAACTGAATATTAATAAATTAAACTAGACCAGAGTCTAGCTATTTTGCTACCATTCTGCATGCAAAATCAATAACTAATTAACATATTCTTGATGAAGCATCAGAGTGGATTACAATCGTGCGGGTCGTTTCTTGATCACAAAGTAAATTCCCATTAAAAGAAGAGCTGTGAAAGAAATGCCTATCACTATTCCTACAGTTTCTCCTCCTCCTTCTTCTCTTCTATTCTCACTTATGTGTTCGTCTGATGAAACTTTACTTCCTTGTGTATCCCCTTCTACATTAGACGTATCTGAAGGTGAAGGTGAAGGTGAAAGAAATGGCAAAGAATGTGAGTTTTTTGGTGGATTATTGTCAGAGAGTGATGATTTTGGGTGAAAGAAATCGTAAGCTTCTGGAGAGAAAGCAGTTGGGTTTGAATAAGCTGGACCATGAACAGGTCTACTTCCTGCAATGGACACACATATAAGTAGAGACAAGCAACTGGAGAAGAAGAGCAACGAGTGAGTTAGGTATGTCATGTTTTTATTTTCTCTATAATCTTTTGTTTAGTTTGTGTGTGTGTGTGTTTGTGGGCTTTATAGGACTGGTTTAAGAGTGGAGATAGTTGTTGCTTGAAGTGCAAATTTGTATGATTATCCAATAAATAACAAAAAGAAGAAAAAGGTCTTTTGAATGAGTGAAGAGAAGTTATGAAACCCATTTTGGTTAATGCTGTTTTTTTTTTGCTTTCACTCTTTTGTGTATAATTTCTGTCTAATACAACTGTTCGCAATACGTAACTAATAAAATCACTAACAGGACAAAACAGTTGGACCTTATTGGTTTTACACTTGGTAGTTTACATTGTATTATATTAGATATAATTAAGGATCAAATGATATTAGGATGCATGGGTCCATATGGTGTTTGTTCTTCTAGTTTCATTTTTTTTGGTAGAAGGTTGGTGGCAAAGAATGCATGAATAGGTTGTTAGTTTGAAGGAACCGCAATATAAGATTTTTAAATAAGCGAAATCGAGACTTATCTTTAAGCAACATTAATTAAAATAGCAACTACAACCAATGGGAAATTACATGAAATTAAAAAACAGAAAATACAAATAAAATAAAAAGATACACGTAATCATCATTTTGATTTAAGTTTAACTCGTGGCTTAATTTAAACAATTAAAATTAAGCAGAGCTCCTAAAGGAGCCAAGAGATTTAATTCCAGCCGCTCTTAGAACAAATTGATGGTATAACGCAGCAGCAGCAGCTCCGATCATCGGTCCCACCCAAAATATCCACTGTTCATTATCAAAAATTTATAATTAAGCATCATTAGTTTCATTTAGTATATATATTTTTACTAATAGAAAAATGTGTTCATGTATATAAAAGTTAATGACGTACTTGGTCGTCCCAGGCCTTTTCTCGGTTGTAGATAACTGCGGCTCCGAAGCTACGGGCCGGGTTGATTCCAGTTCCGGTGATGGGAATGGTGGCTAAGTGAACCATGAAGACGGCAAAACCAATGGGAAGTGGCGCCAAAACTGGAATGTGAGAGTCACGTGCACTTCGCTTGGGATCGGTGGCCGAGAAAACGGTGTAGACAAGGACAAATGTTCCAATGATCTCGGCACCTAGTCCGGTACCTTTGTTGTAGCCTTCGGCAAGCTGGTTGGCTCCACCTCCATATCTAATATTATTAACAATTTGTAGTTAGCAAAAAGAAAAAGATGTGTAAACGGTTTAATTATCAGATGCATGAGTGTTTAGACATAATGGAACCTGGTGTAGTAAGAACTTTGGAATGCTTTAACCAGACCGCAACCGCAGATGGCTCCAAGGCACTGAGCCACAATGTATAACACTGTCCGCACCAATGACACTTTTCTAGCTAAGAACAGTCCCACCGTCACAGCCGGATTTATATGACCACCTTCAAAGTTACAATAATAACAATGATTTTAACCAACTTTAAATGTAAGGTTGTATTTTAGTTTAGGTAAGCCAAACCAAAGTAATTCATACCGAACTTAGCTGAACTGATTAGATAGAAAGTTGACAATTTCTATTAAATGAAAGATTAGTATAGGCTTATTCGACAAAACATTAAAATCAAAGCATACCATATGGATATATACTGATTAGGTATTACTATATGTTTGATATATTTATAAACTATAACATATTTCTAACTTTATGGTAACGTAAAAACCTATCTACTGTGTGACGCGAATGTTAGTATACGTACCGGAGATACCAGCGGTACAGTAAACGAGAACAAAGATCATTCCACCGAAAGCCCAAGCAATCCCCAATATCCCAACGCCGCCACAATCAACTCCTCCTGCGTTTGTGTCGGTCTGAGCCTTGTAGCCAATTACGGTGAGGACTGAGACGTAAAGGAAGAGAAGAGTTGCCACGAACTCAGCTATGACCGCTCTATATAGTGACCACTTCCTAAGCTCCTCCATGTCCAATAATGGCGCAGGAGGCGGATCCTGATAGTCTCTCGCCGCCGTTGCTCCGCCCTCTTGCACCTCCAAGTCCTTTGCCATGACCAAAGATAATGATGAGAGGGAGAAAAGAAGATATATGAGTTTTTATGTTTGTTGTAACTCTTGAGGTTGATTGTTTGTATATATATATACATAGCATGTGCAATTGTTTGATATAAGTACATTATAAGACAGGTCATTTTATGGTTGTTAATTACGTGGACAGTTAAGTATATATATATACATATTAGAAATAATTATGAAAGGAATCATATCTAATCCGTACATGCCTCAAATGAGCTGGTGGTAAACCAGGTTCGAGTTTCAGCTAGCTTTGGAGAGAGGATTTATCAACCGGTTTTTATCCTTGATGAGTTAAAAAAAATGTTATTCTTTTATGTCTTCTTTTTCCTTTTTTTCATATTGTTTTATGTCTTCTTTTGACGATTTATATTTACTTTTATTTAATTATTTGGCATTTGATTTTTTTTTTGGCATTTGATATGATAAACCTTTCGGTTAGTTATTCCATTTTATCTAATAATACTTTATTTTTAATGGAGTTTCGAGACTATTGAATTAATATGTTATTTATTTTAAAAAGTTAAGAAAGTTAAAAGAAAATTACGACATAGTTATAATTTTATTCATCCTAAAGTTTTGGTGACTTTGAGTTAAAACTTAAAGTAACCGCAAAAGATATATAGACATTTAACTTCAAAAAGATATATAAACATAATATGTCATTTACAAGGGCTAGCCGCAACTTTTTTTTTTTAAATGAAATCTATAAAATATTCTTTGTTTTAACATCCATAAATATTGATCAAAATGTAGACACAAAGAAATTAATAGACAAACAGATCAAGAATAATATTCTAGCTAAATAAATCATTCGATAGTTTTTCCATAAGCCTTCTAGACACATTTTGATTGGAAGAATCTCAATTATACCATTTTGGTGGTACCATTTTTCATAATTATCATTAACAAATGAATATTTTCAAAAATACATATTTTATTAAAGGATAAAATACTCTTATATTTTTATTCTTTATATATACATAAAATAAATATTAAATAAAATATTAACCTTAAACCCTAAAACATCAATTCTAAACTCTAGACCCTAAAAAGTAAACTTTAAATCCTAAAAATCAACCTTAAACTCTAAAATATCAATTCTAAACCTTAAACCCTAAACTCTAAATCCTAAACCCTAAAAAGTAAACTCTAAACCTTAAAAAATCAACACTAAACCCTAAACTATCAATCCTAAACCCAAAACCTAAACCCTAAATTCTAATAGTATTTTGAATATTAAAATTTTACTAGTAAAATTGGTTAGTGTAAAGTTGAAAACTGATATCTTGAAAGTGTTATTTCTGGCAATTTCTCATTCTGATTTGAGCCTCATATATGATTCTCAAAAGACACTGCACCAGTGTTTTAAACTATATGAACCGTTGATTTATGATGCAAAATGCATCCACTCACCAAAGAATCCTTATAACATTCTGTCTATTTTTTGAAGTTCAAGTTTTCCTATATTGTGTAATTTGAACTATTTATTTTTAGAAGTTAAAAGTTTTCCTAATTGTGTAAAATATCTCCAGAGTCTACTAATATATGTGGAGATAGACGTTTTTTCAATTCAAACATTTTGTATATTATATATGGAAAGCCTTTAAGTAAAAAAAAACATTTAGTATACTATTATGCGTACATTTTCCGAATAATAAATACAAGTCAGACACTTAGAGCTGTCATGAAATTGTATGATTAGTGGATGATAAACTTGTTTAAGCAGACCTCACCAACTCTCGATTCAGACACATTCTTGTGTTTGTATTAATTTAGTTGGTCCTTAATTTAATACTTTTCAATTTGCAACGTCAATTTCATATCCTTATTTATTTTTTATTTATCTAAAATTTCAAAATTTATATTTAAAATTTCTGCTATAACTAGTCCAGTCTGTTCTGTTAAATAAAAATTATCTAGCAATAACCAAATTCTGGTATGATCAAACTATATATTATAGCTGGACAATCCAAAATGTTAAATTAATTAATTACGTGGTCCAGCGAAGATAACTTAGATGTATGAATATCAAGCTAAAACATTTATTTAAGATATACTATTGATCTTTCTTTTTGTATGGTTAATATAATAGTATATTAAACCAGACAAAAAAGATATATGAATCTAAGAACGTTTTTTATACTTGCATAAAAGTAATTCGGAACAAGTCTATATCAACGTCGTCACAACTTAAATTTTCAAGTTATATATATTAATCATGTAGATATATGCTTACAGGAATGGAGCTAGCTTAGCATATATTTTACCATATAAATATACATGACATTAAAGTTCCACACAAAAAAAAACTTAAAGCAATATAATTTGTGAAACTTCAATATCAAACGTTGGAATTAAATTGAGGATAACGTAAAATAATATGATAGGAATGAGATACATGACATGCAATATCTGAACAACGTTGAACCTGTTATTATATGTTATCTTTGCCAGACGATTTCTTCTGTACATTGTAACATTCATATGTTGGACTTACATGCTTGAGGCATGCATATATTATATATCTAGTTGCATATATATAGTATATATGTGTATATATATATATATACATCATGTAAATAATGCATATGATCATGTTTATTAATTTTAGATTAGAGTTTGATAGCATGATGATGATTGATAGAGAGTGTCTAATATATAAAGAAAAGTTCAATTCTAATAGTAAGAGGCATTTTGAAAAATAAACTAAAAATAAATCTATGTGGACTTGTCAATTAGATTATTACAATATCGTACTAATCTGAGAATATAGAATTGGGACATGAGAATATAGAATTGGGACATGAGCTTTCACAAACCCAATAACTTTCAGAGTGTATATGCGTCTTTGTAATTTTTTGTTAGATAATTAAACTGCAAGAGTGCATATGCGTTTTTATACAGTTGTACGATGACCATAAGATGTTGACTGATCGTGTTAAACCATATACATGTCACTGTAACAAACATCCATAAAAATAAAAGAAAACAAGCTTTGATATTTTTATTGAACAAGATTTCCAACAGTAAAAAAATACAAATTAGCATTTTCAAATAGCTAAAAGATACTGAAACTCAAAATCATAAGGGATCTTTTCAACCACCAGAGAGGAAGAAGAAGCTTTGGAGTTTTGATTCTTAAAACAATCCACCATTGATTTTCTTAAAGAACCAGAAGTTGGTAATTGGTTGCAAACCCATTTTACCAGAGATCCCATCTCTACGCCGTTGCCATCTTCCCTTGCCACGAAATCTACGGCGTGTTTTACTAGAAGCTCAGGCAAGATTACCCGTTTAGCCACCGTAACCACCACTGAGGCTTGCAAGTACTCCATTTTCGATTTCTCTAGCTCTGTTGCCACTCCTTCTCCAGTGTATATCCTCACCTTAATATTTAGTATATAGAAAAAGTTCCATATAAAACTCATAACTCTAATTTTTCTTCTTAATATATAACCATATACTTTTACCATCAATCTAATCTAATAGTTAAAAATACTGTCTACAACTCTATCAAGTGCTATAGTGAATATAAAAAAAAATTATACAACACTGATAAACTGGTGTACTAAGATTGTTAGTTAAACCATCTATGTAGTTAATCCAAGTTTAGATATTAAACGGTCAATTGTGATAGTTTGCTAAATAAAAGTGAATTAATGAGTTTAACTTACCGCAGGAGAGGATCGAGTTCCACATGAGAGAGCAAATGTGATGTTAGGATCCGTTGCTTCTATGCCGTATAGTTTATGAATGATCATTTCCTCGTGTCGATCCTTGATTATATTTGCATACTTAGGATATTCTTAAGATTAATCGGTAGAATATGAAGATGATTATTGACATGGTATGTATATATATACCTGAGTCATGGTAGAATTTGCAGGCTTCCGTAGGATGCAATGCTCTATGGTATGAGCACTTATGTTTTTGCCTCCAACATTTATTGTGGCCTATAATATATACTTATTGTAAATTTAATATGTATGAACAGTATGGGGTTTACTTAATCTGGTGTTTATTTTAGAAAACATACCTTATTATAAACAAGAGACTGAAGTTTCTCAGTCGTTTTTGGAACTCCATATTGTAGATATCCCTGGTCATACGCAGAAATAATGAAGTACGTTGAATATATACACCATAATTGTGGTTTTCTAATTTAAAAAAAAAAAATGTCTAAGTAGAGAATATATACATGCATAACACATGCATTGAACATGTTGATCCAAAACGCTAGCTTTTGTTGATGGCTCAACACTCTCAAATCCACAGTCTCAAGATTGTTCATCAAGACCCTGCATTTTGTTCATGGCGATATATTTATCCAACGTAAGAAAACATTTTCTCAAAGTATATCTCGAATTTTACCTGAGTTTCTGGATCAAAGAAACCGAGCTAGAGCTCGAAATACACTTGGAATCCATACAACTTGAAGTGAAGACGACAAGATTCTTGTATGGACCAATGTCTCTAGCCAAAGATGATTCTACATCAAATACTCCATAGGGATCTTGTTGTCTTGATTCTTTATAAGACACGAGATTCATGGATTTAGACAAACCGGACGTTGCCTTGTCCACTCTAAAGCTTCTTGAGATCAAAGAGAAAGGGTTGGATCTCGAGACCGGACCTTTCTCTAGCTCCATGACTCTTGTGGTTCTAAGGAGACGAACGTAGATGAAATTGAGACACTTCATGATGTTCTCAGCGAGCTTGTTTGGGTGCCACTTCTGTATGTTTTGTCCATCTTCCATTAATATTGTGCTTGATAGAGATTTTGGTGGGAGGTCTAGTGATGTATCAAGTGCTACACGATCCTTATTAGACTGCAACAAATCATAATTAACCATAAAGTTAAGAGTAAAAACTGAACGAGTAAATGATACATGATATAATATAAAAACGCACCTTAGGAGAGGAGTATCTAGGTTCACGTAGGGGAGAAGGTGATTTCATCCTCCTAAGCATCTTCTTCATATTATT